ATTTTCCCTCTTAAGATCTCTTGCGCCTTCGTTACTCCCTCTCCCCAAGATTTCTTGGGCCTTCCTCTCTTTCTACGATTTGGTGGTACCCATTGCATAATTATTTTTGGGGGTCTTGAGTTATCCATCCTCTGGACGTGTCCGTACCATATCAGCTGTTTTCTTTCTATGTCTGTTGTTGCAGAGCCGTCAACCCGCATTCGCTGTCTTATCCTTCACATCTTAAAAAGAGGAAAAATAAATTTCATAAATGGTAAAATTCTTCAAATACCCGCTATACACACTTCTAAACCTTGAAAAATCATATTGCCTAATTGACTTATCTATTCAAATAATTAATCATAAAACATTAAGCAGGTACAAGAGAACTGAAATTGATCATAAAAATGAACGCTGAAGAAATGAATCTAATCAAAGAAAAAATGAAATCATTTAAGAATGAGTGGACAATAGAAATGAAAGAGATATTGAACTATAAGAGAGAGAGAAACAAAAAGTGTGCAACAGTGCTAGTTACAAAGAAGGAAGAACAAACACATTCTTAAATGAACCTGCAAATTAAAACGAGTCACAAAACACTAAGTTCATTAAGTCAAAGTGAAATAGATTTGTACTAAGTAGTACTTGTAGAACTGCAGTACTAATAAGCTTGAAGCAGTACTAATAATCATAAAGAATTTCTACCTCCTTGGAGATCAATATATCGCTGTTCCAGAAGTATAAAAACATAATTGTAAAATTTTGAAAAATGACTTTATTGTGTTGGAGGGGTCAAAACTGCAATTTTTATATATTTTAAAATCATCATAACTGTACTTTCGGAATCACCGGTCATGACGAAATTCGTATGTAGAATTACGACGATTTACAAATATGTTGAAAATGCAGTTTTCATTCCTCCAACTCAATAAAGTCATTTTTCAAAAAATTTTCAGTTATGTCATTATACTTCCGGAACAGCGACATACGCTATCACTTTTACATCGTTGCGCGTTGTCTAGAAGTGGAATCTGATTTTGTCTTTCAAAATTATGATTCGACTGTTACTGTTCATGTCTGTGAGTATCTTAGCTGGGTGTAACATATGTTCTACTATTTTATATTCTGCAAGAATTTGAGTAGGTATTACCTTATTTGCAGAAACTATATAACAGGCCTCCCAAAACCCAGTTTTGGTTTGATTCATTATGCTTTAGTCTTAAAAACAAAACCTAAGCTATGTAAAAAACATAATTTTCTTAAACCTTTTAAAACAGAATATTAAATAGCTGAGAAGATTTATATCGCATGTTAGGATTCTATCAATTAATTTTGTACTCAGCCTGAGGCCTTCTTTAAATCAATAAATCAAAATTTGTCTTAAGGGAAATCTATTTTTATCCATACTGCCCTATCATATCGTATCGTATATGTCGCTATACGTTCATTAACATTGAAGATACTGTGTAGTGCCATTTTAGTAGTCGCCTTGTTTATTTGTTCTATCTGAATATATTCGTTATAACCTTCTCTTTCATGTGGTTTGTGATTGTGGATATATATATATATATATATATATATATATATATATATATATATATATATATATATATATATATATATATATATATTCTATTTTAACTTGTACTCATAGTTCGCTACTTATGTTTTTTATAATCCTATTTTTAATATAACTGGTATTGTAAAATTGAAATCCTCAAAATATAATTTATAATTCGAATGTATTGATATTTTTTCATCTATAGAAGTTAGTTTTCTCATTAGATCTTTCGACATCAGTTTTTCGTTTTATGAGATTTCTCACCAGTAACAATAAATACAGCGTGATTTTTTAATGAATACAAAAAATTAAATATTCGATTAATTTAAACTGATGGATTCAACATAATACATTTTGAAGAACAATCAGTAATAATTATTTGGGAAACTATTGATAATTGTCGAAAACGCTAAATTTAGAAAAGTATTCATTATTCCTAAAATCTAATTAAATTGTAGATCGCACCTAGTCACACTTTTCCTATTTATTTTCGAGCAGTGTATTAAAAATTATATTGAGCATTGTAACAAAAATTGGAATTTGTTACAATGGAACGCGTAAAAAAATGGAACATAAAGAACAAAGGACTCGCGGCAGAGTGAACCTACTGATTCTTTTTAAGCACAATACTGTTGTGCCCCGAGACTGTGTTAAAATAAATGATTGGTTAAAGTCTTCGTGAGAGAGATAGGCTGTCATTTCTCTTTATCAACTCGCTGATTTACCAAGATAAAGGTCGATTCAGACACATCAGTCACGTCTCGTCACCATCTCGTCACAGTGATTGCGCCGAATCGAACAATCCGTCATACAAAATATTCTTTAATACAAATATGGCGCCGGCATTCACACTCATCAGTTGACGAACAGTTTACCAGCTGTCAGATAGTTGATAGTTCTGTGACCAAACAGGACCGGTTCGGTACCGTGACTGTGACGTGACTGATGTGTGTGAATCGACCTTTAAGGTCGATTCAGACACATCAGTCCCGTCACAGTCTCGGCGCCGAACCGGTCCTGTTTGGTCACAGAACTATTAATAATTTGACAGCTGGGAAACTGTTCGTCGGCTGATGAATGTGAATGCCGGCGCCATATTTCTATTAAAGAATATTTTGTATGACGGATTGTTCGGTTCGGCGCCAGGACTGTGACGAGACATGACTGATGTGTCTGAATCATCGAGCAAAAAGATAAAAGAGGGAATCTAAGCGTTATGAAAAGGAGACCAAAAAAGTGGCCTCTGATGGCGGACATATCCGGAAATGCAAAGGCGCTAAATTTAAATTTTCCAACACTTATTAACAATAGCTATAAAATATTTCTCAGACGAGAAAGTTTTAAATTAATTTAAATTAAATATTAACTATAATAGTCTAAAAAGTGACACAATTGGTAAAAAACATTAATATAAATAAAATTTCATGTGACAGTTGGGACAAACAATAACATAACCAAACTAAATTTGACTTTTCAAACAAGGAAAGAGACTGTCTTTCCTTGTTTAAAGTGGCCTCTCAAGATAGCACTTCCTGTCTAACAATATTTTTGTCCCCACTACCTTTACATTCCCTCTTTTATCTTTTTGCTCGATGGTCTGAATCATCGAGCAATAAGACAAAAGAGGGAATGTAAAGGTAGAAGTGGTAAACATATTGATAGACAGGAAGTGCCATCTTGAGAGGCCACTTTAGACAAGGAAAGACAGTCTCTTTCCTTGTTTAAGAAGTCAAATTTAGTTTGGTTATGTTATTGTTTGTCCCAACTGTCACATGAAATTTTATTTATATTGAAGTTTTTTACCAATTATGTCACTTTTTAGACTATTATCGTTAATATTTAATTAAAGCTTTCTTGTCTGAAAAATATTTCGAAAGAAAATGCAAAAAAGTATTTTTGAAGTGTGTATATTTTAGGCAATTCCTAGCTGAGCGCTTTCGGCTTTACAAAGCCATCATCAGAGCTATGGTCAATTTTTTTAAAATACCACTACAAAGAAGAGATCTCATTTCCTTAAGTTTTAAAATTATGATATTGTAGGAGTTGGAATTCTTAAAACACATAAAAAACATATAAAAAGTCGACACTGGACTTCACAAACACATTAAAAATTGAAAAAATTTTTGTCATGGTACGGGTTTTAAGACCCGACCATCTATTGATGTGAGGACGTAGACTGAATAGGGTCTTAAAACCCGTACCATGACAAAAATTTTTTCAATTTTTTAATGTGTTTGTGAAGTCCAGTGTCGACTTTTTATATGTTTTTTATGTGTTTTAAGAATTCCAACTCCTACAATATCATAATTTTAAAACTTAAGGAAATGAGATCTCTTCTTTGTAGTGGTATTTTAAAAAAATTGACCATAGCTCTGATGATGGCTTTGTAAAGCCGAAAGCGCTCAGCTAGGAATTGCCTAAAATATACACACTTCAAAAATACTTTTTTGCATTTTCTTTCGACTTGTCATAAGTGTGTACAAAAAAATATCAGTCTTTTGATTGAAAAATATTTTACAGGTATTGTTAACAAGTGTTGGAAAATTTAAATTTAGCGCCTTTGCATTTCCGGATATGTCCGCCATCAGAGGCCACTTTTTTGGTCTCCTTTTTATAACGATTAGATTCCCTCTTTTGTCTTATTGCTCGATGGTCTGAATCGACCTTAAAGGTCGATTCAGACCTTTATTAAAGGTAGAATTTTTGCTAACTTGCTAAAATTTGTTCGCATTGTTCACACATCTATTTATTTTTAGCTTATCTAAAAACCTTCAGCATTTTATCGTTTATCCACATTTTTTTAATTTTTTTTCTTTTCAAATATTTGTCTTTGATTTCCTGATTCGTATCTTAGTATTTTAATGTAATTTTCTATAGCCATTGCTTTTTCTGCATTAGTCTTTTTTGCTCTATACATTGTTGCATTTATTGTTTTTTTTTGTGTCATATCTTTAATAATATTGTGTGTCCAATATTCGAAGTTGCTGCAGTCTTGCGTTAAAATTATCTGATCATCCGCAAGTCACGTTGTTATTTAAGGACATCCTTATGTTTCATATCTTATTCCAGGACTTCATTGTTCCATATATTATATTTTAAACAGAGTCGTAAAATAACAATACTCTACTTCAAGTCTTTATTGCAAAAAAGTGTGTTGACCAACAACAATAGGTTCTCAATTATTTTTGTTTATGTTTATAAGGTTTATACTTATGTTTTGTTTTCTTCAGTTCCTCTCAAAGTTTCACCTGTGAAACAACGTAGAAGTATAAAAAAGTTCATACTTCTTTTTAAGTCATATTTAAGTATGTGTAACTCATAATATGAATGGAAGATATTATCTTCTCGTAATGTGATAATTGAGTTGCCTATATAAAAGGTGTAGAAAATATATCCTACTGTTTATGTCTTCAGTTAACAATCAAAATTTTATAACGTGACAGCTGTCAATGATATGGAATGGAATATGGAACATTTATTCCAAAATAATATGATATATCGAATTTATCATATACAAATTTCTTCATTATTTTATTGAAGTCAGCTGTTGATTTTAGTGTAAATTGTTTGAAAAAATACTCCAAAATGAAGAAAAAGGTAATTAATACAAATTAGTTACTTTTTAACAAATAATTAAATTCTTTTGTAGGTGTTACTCATGGGCAAAAGTGGGTCTGGGAAAACTAGTATGAGATCTATAATTTTTGCAAATTATATTGCCCGAGATACAAGGAGATTGGGAGCTACAAGTAGGTCTATTAATATTACGAATTAGTCCAGTGGAAACTAATAAGGTTGTTTTTGTAGTTGATGTGGAACATTCTCATGTGAGATTCCTTGGAAACTTGGTCCTTAACCTTTGGGACTGTGGAGGTCAAGAAGCCTTTATGGAAAATTACTTTGCTTCTCAAAGAGATAACATATTTCGAAATGTAGAAGTTCTTATTTATGTATTTGATGTAGAAAGTAGAGAACTTGAAAGGGATATGCATTATTATCAGTCATGTTTAGAGGCAATAATACAGAACTCTCCAGAAGCTAAAATATTTTGTCTTATTCACAAAATGGACTTGGTAGCTGAAGACCAAAGGGATATAATTTTTAAAGAAAGGGAATCTGATTTAAAGCGTCTATCTATGCCATTAGATTGTACTTGCTTCCGAACTTCTATTTGGGATGAAACTTTGTATAGGGCTTGGTCTAGTATAGTTTATATGTTAATACCTAATGTTAAAGAGTTAGAAAATAGTCTGCACCTTTTTGCCAATATTGTAGATGCTGATGAAGTACTGCTTTTTGAAAAAGCTACTTTTCTAGTAATCTCACATTGTCAGAGAAAACAACACAGGGATGTGCACAGGTTTGAGAAAGTTTCTAATATTATAAAGCAGTTTAAGCTGTCATGTTCCAAGTTGGCTGCACAGTTTCAGAGCATGGAAGTCAGGAACTCTGCATTTGCTGCTTATATTGACATGTTTACAAGTAACACTTATGTTATGGTTTGTATGTCTGATCCTCAGATTCCTTCAGAAGTGACACTGATTAATATTAGAAATGCTAGGAAACACTTTGAAAAGCTGGAGAAAGTCTCCAGCTCAGCATCAACTATAGCCAGATAAGTTTTGTTTGTAAACAGTAAATATGGGTCAGATACATACCTACATATGAAATGTTATTGCCTTGATATTTCAGTGATTCTACAAACATATATATATATATATATATATATATATATATATATATATATATATATATATATATTATATATATATATATATATATGTATTTATGTATGTATAAAAATGTAATAAGCACTATATTTGTATATCGTCATCATTGAAAATATTTTTAATTTACATGGATTACTTACACTCTGTACAGTTGGAACTGTAGATCTTTACTGATGAAATAAGTTGAGATAGAACATCATCTGTTTAGAAATTACAAATGCTGATAGTACTGCTTTGACAACTACTCGTATTATTTTATATTTTCATTTTGAATGACGTGTTTCATCAAAGCTCTTCTTCATTGCTTCTTTGACATCCATTTTTCAGCTTCTGGGTTGCTGACCTTGTTTCATTTTTCTGGGACCCAAATCTATATTTTTTCGTCATCTAGTGTCATTCATTCATTCTAAATGTCCATAACACATTAGTTTTTTCTTTTGTATTGTTTTTATTATATATACCATCTACATTTATAATTGTTTTAATGCCATCATTTCTAGCCTGAAAATCTTGGCATTTCATCTCCAGTACTCCATTTCGAGTGATAGCAATTGGTCTGTATCTTTATTTCAAACTTTCCGTATTTCCGATTCATATGTACATGTTTTCAATAATGTACTTGTAAACCGTTGTTAATTTGGCTTTTTATTTTGTTTTATATATGAGATCTTGCTTGTTTTAATCACCAATTACCAAATATTTGCTCTTATGTACATTTATTTTTAATCCCAATTTCTCATATTCCCCAATCAGTTTCCATAATATATAGCTTGAGTCATCAGTACCAGTACCAGCAGCTATCAGTACTTAAGCTAACTTAAAAGAGAATATTGTGTCATTATCCACTGTAATTCCCATTAGGCTACATTTCCATTGCCATATTTTGAGTGCTTTTTGAATGTATATTTTAATCAATAGAGGCACGAAACAACGTTCTTGTCTTCAGCCTTTACTAATATGAAAATCTTCAGCTGTCGTCTTGCCTACTTTGACTGCACTGGTACGTCCTGAGTATAGGGCTTTTACAGATTTAATGTATCATTTATTGACATCATTGTTTTTCATGCACAACCACAACTTATTTAATAGTATAATATCGTAGGTTTTCTCAAGGTCAAAAAATGTTAAATGGACAATTGACTCTCTTTCTATGCGTTTCTGTATAACTCTGTCCATACAGGAGTGACATACATTGAACAGTATCTATAATATAAAATGAATTGGAAAACTAAAGTCTAAACAGGGAGTCTACACAGTGTTATAGACTCATCAAGAGGAACATTCTTGCTGGGCTCTTAATATTATACTGTAATTAATTTGTGTACTTTGAATTTTCCATGGTAGAGAGAAACATTATTTTGTGTTTGTTATACTGTCCAAAAGGTTTTAGTATCATAGCCATAGCGAATACATTAAATTGGTCTGATACAAAAAAAATTGGATGTGAAAAATATTAAAAATGTGTTCAAAAAATGACATTTTTCTTCGAAGAAAGTATGTAAATTGTCAGAGTTTAAGATATTGATGACTGAATAATTACATAAATTTCAACAAAATATCTCCTTTTTCGTCTAGACCCTGAATTTTACTTGCATATGCCATTTACATACTTTTATTATTAATATTTATTTGTAAGTAATGTGCCAAATTTTTGTTTAAATGTTTAAATTATGATCACGGTATCTATAAGCCCTATAACGGATGAACAACAAGTTATTACACAGAGATAAAGACTTTAACGACCAAAACGACAACATTCGCAGAAATGAAATCACACAAATTAATATATTTGATGTAGATAAACACATTGAAAATATATAAATACACTAAAAAATTTAGGAAATCAAAGATTTTTTAATCACTAACCCTTTTATCATATCAGAAGTTTTCATAAAGAAAAATAGAGAATTAATAAGTTTATTAAAAAATTAGACGTATTGCTATCATTAATGATAGAACGTTCAGTGGTTTGTCATACCAGAAGGCTATTGCGGTAGGACAGTTGGACAGAAGTTATGTTCTGTCAAAATAACTCAACGATTTTATATGATCTTTTCATCCAGCAAAACTTAAAAATTTCAGCATTACAAAGAAATTTATTAGTTACGTGCATATCGGTTTTAAGGTAATCTTTGAGGTTTTTTAAGAACATAAACAGAATAGAACAATTAAAAAAAAACGTTAAGGTTATTGAGTAGACAAAATATTGCGCATATTATGGACTGAACTTCTTTTATAATGAAAACTTGACGCTTTATTTATGATGGAATTCCATGTAAAATATGGTATGCGAAACAATTGCTACCTGTCGTTTGAGCACATAACACCGATTTAATTCCACAGTTTTCACAAAAAAAACTTGATTTTTCTTTTCGTTTGGCCATGTATTTTTTATCAGTTGTAATCCCAATTTCTTTGTAAAAGAGACCAAGACCCTTTCTTTTTTACCAAAGTATTTATAGGCTAAGGAAGAATTAGTTTCTATAATACCAAGCTGTGAGGCGTACATTTCGTGTTTCCAATTCTTTGTTCCAATGCTAATTAAACCTGACAGTCTTATATGGTTGTGGATATCAATAGCTGCAGCATCATCAAAATACTTTTCGACCAATTTAATCTTGGGTACTTCTTTTTACCAAAGTATTTATAGGCTAAGGAAGAATTAGTTTCTATAATACCAAGCTGTGAGGCGTACATTTCGTGTTTCCAATTCTTTGTTCCAATGCTAATTAAACCTGACTGTCTTATATGGTTGTGGATATCAATAGCTGCAGCATCATCAAAATACTTTTCGACCAATTTAATCTTGGGTACTTCTTTTACACTAGGAATTCCATTTTCATTATTATTCGTTTTTTCTTGGCAGGTTCACCTTCAATTGTCGTACCACAGCTTCCAATAAAAGTATTGATTTGTTTATCTCTCCATCCTACACATTATCACATTATCGACTGTTGCAGTGACATAAACAGTGCCCTGGACATTTTCAGAGTATCGTTCCTTCATTGTTTTTAACGGATATTGCTTGGTAGCTGTTTTTACAATACCCAAAAAATACAGACCTCGTTTGTGTAGTTAGACTACCGTTTTCAGGCATTGCTAAAAACATGCAGTTCTCTTCAGAGCGTTATCGTAGCGAGACAGAGACGAATTTAGTTTATATTTTTATGTTATACCTTATAAACAATCTAAAACTGAAAAAAAAACGAAAAATGGCTTAAAAATACACAATTATTTTTTAATTCACCAAATCTTGTTCTATCAGTTTCCGATACTTTAGTTTGGGCTTATTTGTTTTTAAAACATTGTTTTTAGTTGTTGGAGGCCCTTATCACAACCTAAAAATTGATTTATACAAAACTGTTTAATAAAATAGGACCACTTTTTGTATAGGCGACCTCTTGGACATTATTCTGTGGTATTTTATGAAAGTGATTATGCAAAAAATTTCATGGGAATATTTTTCCCAACGAATTCAAGGTTTTCGTCCCGTATAAACATATTTTGTTAAATTTAAAACCAAAATCCTATTATTTTTCTATCATACATTGATTTGTTATTTATTTATTTGTCCTCTAGATTTTTTTCAAAAGGTTTATTTATAAACCAAATTAGTGCAATGTAAATATTTTATATTTTACACAGCAATTTTTATCGGCAGTGATGACGGCAAGTCGTAAATTTTTATTACATCTTTCAATGTGAGATGAAATAAAAATGCGATGACTAACTGGAATGTTTAAGATTAGAGAAACATAATATGTCATGTTTATTGGAAATACTCGATATTATTAGCACGTGCAAATCCTACCTGTCGCCTAATTTCCGATGAAATTAAAATGGTGCATGTTTTTAGGATCCATTTATTTTTCGGGCATGCGTATTTACGAGGTTCAGGAGGTTTTGAAACAATTCTACCTTGGGTCACATTGCCGTATCAACTTCACTCGAATTTTTATCTTTACAATCGCTGGATGAAGATGAGGACGAAAAAATTTCTTGATCAATTATGCTACACTCGTCATGTCCAGAAGTATTTGGCACATCGTTGTTTATTGATTTTGTTGTAGGTACTATGTTTAGGGGCGTCTATTCGTTTTCTTTTTCCTTTCTGATCTACAAGAATCTACAAAAAAAGTTAATAATGAAGCTAATCCAATGAAATTTTAGAATCAGATTACTTACCTTTATATGTCTTTAACAAATTTAGTTTAATTGGCATTTCACTGTTATCTATATCCCATAAAACAATTGCACTGTCATCTAAAATGGACTTTATAATACCATTGCATACTGCAAAATTGAATTTCAGTCTAAAAACAGCAATACTACATTGCTATTATTCCAATATTGCTATTCTTTTTATCAAATAACGGGGTTTTGGCAAAAACACGGTCACCGATCTTAAAATTCATGTTTCCACTAAACTACTACTCTTACTTTAAATGGTCACGCCTATGATTTATGCGTACCCCTGCTCTAATATACATCAACTGCCACAGCTTCGTTAATACCGATACTAGAAAGTTGAGACTTAGCATTAGATATACAAAATTTCTTGATGAAGACAAAGTAAGCCATTTTGTATTGCCGGAAGGCCGGACCTCTGGACGTTCTATCATTAAGAATTAAAGTGAAGGCATTATTAGGATATCTGTTTTCAGTCGAGTTCTGGTTGTATTTGAGAAAATTGACATATTTTTCATTCATATCCAATTGAAACCTTTCACTTATTGTTGGGACAGGTTTGCTACGTAATAACCCCTTTAGAAATAATTTCAAATATGCCCAATAAGAGAAATGTTAAAATTTTTGGGGAGTTCAGTCCATTTTAGAAATACTAACTTTATCGAGAGACTTTCTATGAAGTTATGAGTGCAATATCGGATTAACCCCAATATTAATAAGTGTTAGAAAATGGGTTTGAAAAAAAAAAGTGAAAATTAGGGGATCTACTATAACCTTGTT